ATATCTTCAGGAAGGAATATTGTCAAACAGTAGGTAAGGTAACCAGCAAGAAACAGTTGCTTATGCCCATGGCAGGCTATAGAAATGAGAACCATCCAGATTTTCTAGGAAATTAGCAAACGGATTTATTGCATGACTGCTAATTAGTTCTGAGCAGCCACAGATATCTGTGAATGCAACAGAACGGAGCAAGAGTAAATGCAGTACTAATTATAATCTAAAACAGTGAAACAAATCATTCTGGAGACTACACTCTGTTAAACACCTGGTTCCCATGAAATATGGGAATGATATCAAAAGCAATCAAATTGCATAACTTCACTCATACTATGAAAATCCACAACGGTATGCTCATACTTCCATGCTTTTGAGGAACAGAGCATAAAGACCAATGCCTAGTGGCAGTAATCATACAGCACTGAAAGACAGGAGGGCAATAGACTGAGGTGCAATAGTCAAAACGGTTCAGATGTGATTACTGTTTTCCAGAGAGATTGTGACTGTAGGAGATGAATAAAGCATAAATAATAATTTTTAAAAAGTAGTGAAAGTGGGCTGGATTCAATCAAGCACATTTAAAAATGCATATATGAGCAAATAATCTCAGAAATATGGTCAGAATTAGGTGTGTGTTTAATGGTGTGGTGAGCTTAAAGACATATGGGAGTAATCTTGGAGGATGGGGCCAAACACAGGTAAATATTTGTACTGGAGAGAAAAATCTTAGAATAATAAACTGAATATATGAACACAGGATTTGAAGAAACAATCTGAACAAAAATGGATAATTTGTGTCAAAAAGCAAAAGTAAAACTTTGTAAAATTGATCACAGACTATTCTCTCAAGAAAGAAAGAAGAAATCTCATCTCTGAGCCTTTGAAAAACATAAATAACCTATACAATAACTTATTACATAGGAAAAAGTTTAATAGGAATGTGGACAAAATGACTTATTTGACCTAAGCATTTCTAGTGCCAGTGAAGCAGCTCGTCAGCTGTTTTTCAACATGATCCTGTTGACTGGGGAGTGGGAAGACCTTTTCCCCAGCGAAGGGTCTGGTTGGGAGATGCTCATTCTCTGAAGGGTGTCTCCCTTACTTGCCTATGCAAAACTTGGACCCACTCCTGATTTTAGGGCAAGAGTGTTTTCAGCTGAGGTGGTATCCTGTGGTTTTCCATGGCATATCCCAGCCTGCAGACAAGTCTGTATGGAGGTGGCCCATGGACTCCAGGCAGCTGCTGGGAGAGCGAGCATTAAGAGCAGCAGCACTGCAATCTGGCTGCAAGAGCTTGTGCAGGTTGTGACAATGGCTGTGTCAGGCCACTGGTATTTCACTTCCTCCTCCTCTGCCTCCGTCCCTGCAGTGGCTACTGCACCTGAGAAACACTGATATTTTGGAGAAAAGCTGGCAGCTCTCAGGTAATGAATTAACTGAATGGTGGAAGAACAAGCCCAGAAAAAGTTGGCAGTGGTAAACAGTTAAATTTAGATGGCTGCCATGTGTATTAATTCACATGCAGGCATCAGGACTGCAAACTGGCATATCTTCAGGAAACACCATCTTGTGATTAATTTAAAAAAAGACAGTGGTTGTCATTACTTACCCTAAGCACCCATAACTCAGAGATTATCACTGCAGGAGCTAGTAAACAGGATACTTCCAGAAGGAGGACACTATTATAGCTTTTCAAATTGATTCAGAACCACTAAGGTACATCTTGGGCATTTGTTTTAGTGCATTAGTGCACCAGTGAAAGAATGCAGCTGCCGAGACAGATACAGATGTTAGACCTGACTGGGGAATTAGAGCTAGGCTTGATGGAAGAAAATGTGTTTTGGAACACCAACAAATCCTCATTAAATAAGGGAAAGAAAAGAAAAAGAGAAAGAGGAAGTCAAAGTCAAATTCAAGGTCAAAAGGCAAAAATGAAACAGAAAATAAAGAGAAAAATGAAAAAGGAGTGAGAAACAAGGAAAAAAGAAAATGGAAAAGGAAAAAGGGAAAAAGAACAGGAACAGGAAAAGAATGAAGAAGAAGGAGAAAAAGAAGAAGGAAAAAAGAAGAAGGAAAAAAGAAAGAAAAAAAGAGCATTTTTTTAATAGCAGTGGGTGTTCAGGAATTTTCAGAATACTTAGAAGCAAATAATGAATAAAACTCATGGGTTAAATGACACCTTCTGTCCAAAAGCCCTATTTGGAATAAATGCAGTTGTGAAGGGAGCAAACAAGGAATGAACATGGCATGCTATTAAGAATTTGGGAGTACAAGAGGATCTCTGTCTAACTGTGATTTGTTAGAAACACTGGGTCTCAAGCAAGACTAGGCAGTAAGAAATGTTAGCAGCACTTTTGCAGCTTCTTGTATAACCTGCTCTTTCTAGACAAAGCAAAAAAGAGTGTAAAAGACATACCACTGCCAGACTACAATAAATCTGAAAGAATTTGGTGTCTGAAGGGACTGAAGCTCTCACCAAACTTAATATCAGGATGCTGTAGTTTGGAGTGTAAAAGTCACTGTGTTGGAAAAGTGATCTAGTTTTAAG